AGCAGGAGATGCCTGTGCAGCAGGACTCACCAGTGTGTTCTCTCCTGACAGGTGGGTTTGATTTGGACATCAAGGGCTGGGGCGGGGAGGACGTGCACCTCTACCGCAAGTATCTCCACAGCAACCTCATAGTGGTGCGGACGCCCGTGCGGGGACTCTTCCACCTCTGGCACGAGAAGCGCTGTGTGGACGAGCTGACCCCGGAGCAGTACAAGATGTGCATGCAGTCCAAGGCCATGAATGAGGCATCCCACGGGCAGCTGGGGATGCTGGTCTTCAGGCACGAGATAGAGGCTCACCTTCGCAAACAGAAACAGAAGACGAATAGCAAAAAAACATGAACTCCCAGGGATGGATTTAGGGAGACACTGAATTTTTTTTTCCTTTTGCAATTACTGAAAAAGTGGCTGCAGTGAGGAAAAGACTTCCATAAAGAGTGAAAGAAAGAATTTGACCGATTAGTAAGAGACAGAGGAAAGAGCCTCCAATTTCTCTCTGTCTACATGGCTTATGCAACAGAAATGAAAATCTCCACTTTGCCTCCAAAAGTAGCCCAGATGCACCCTGTACAGTGTCTGACAAAGACAGAATGATTGTAAGATTATAAGCCTCGTGGCGTGGAGGTTTTGATTGTGTTTACAACAAAATGAGATCTATTGTTTCCTATGCTCGTTGAAATATTCATGAATTGAGACCAGTTTTGTAAAAAGTTTATTAGAATGAAAAGCACATTTCTCCCCATATGAACGATTCTGTCAGTAGGGCTCTAGTTCCTAGGAATGCTAAAACATCAGAAGGCAGGAGAGGGGAATATGTGAAATGCAGAGACGCTCTCATATGCTCTTAATATGCTTGTGAGCACATTAAGCAAAACCAAGCAGACCAGAAAAGGAAAAAAAAAACACCATAAATATTGTATCAATTTCCCCCAAGATTAACCAAAAATAATCTCATCTTTTTGGTTGTCATTTTAACTATCTGCATTTGTTTATTTTATTTAAAAATGCACTTTTACTTTGCTTATGAGTTTTATTCTGCTTATTTAATTACTAATTTGCAAGCCTTACTAAGAGAGCACAAGTTAGCATAATTTTTATAGTTTTAAGAAGATGCTTCTGGATGCATTATGAGAACTTTCAGTTCAGAGCATCGAATTGATGCCATATTCAAGGACATGCCAAGTGCTGACCCTATCGGGCACGGAATGTCGATGACAGAACTTTACACATGTGGAAGGCATGGTTTGGGGCTGCTGATAGAGACATAGAGACACTTTATCTGAAGAGTATTTCTGAAGAGGAGCATCTGAACACTGGAGGGAAAGAAAAAGATACTTTTCACCTTAACAGAAAAGGAAATTCATACAGACTGGTGATATCTCGATATATGTAAAAGTCAGAAAACACATTTTCTCCTCTGAAGAAATGAGGACCACTTTCTTACTTGTTTAAATAAACCAAAGTATACTGTGTGAACCAAACAATCTCTTTTCAAAGCAGGGTGCTCTTCCTGGCTTCTGATTTCCATAAGAAGAAATGCAGAAAAATATATTTTGTGAAAGATCAATCCATCTGCCAGACTAGTGGGATGGAACTTTTTGCTATGTGATCACCCACCCCAGGCTAGGTGGATATAACTTAATTATTTTTAAAATTAAGCAGTTCTACTTAATCACCAATAAAGTTGCAGTTTATTACAGTTTCGAACTATTTTTTAAAAAATGAAGACAGTTAACAGAGTGGTTTCTACATTCATGTGAAAATTATTTATTATCCAGCACCAGATGCATGAGCTAATTATTTCTATGATTCTTTGCCTTCTGTTTGCCCACAGTAAACTCATTGTTTAAAAGCTTCAAGAAATTCAAGCTGTTGGTGGGTTTTTTTGTTTGTTTTTGTTTTTAATGCATTGTATTGATCTGTACTGGTAGTTCATAAAATTTTATTAAAACACAGGACATGAATGGAAGGTGGTATTGCACAGCTAATAAAATATGATTTGTGGGTATGATTTCTTCTTGGAGTAAGAATGCCATGTCTTTAGTTTTTAGAAAGCAGTATTTTGGGGCCGAGCCTGTGGCACACTCGGGAGAGTGTGGCGCTGGGAGAGCAGCAGCGCTCCTGCCGTGGGTTCGGATCCTATATAGGGATGACCGGTTCGCTCACAGCG